TGCACAGCCATGCACAGCAGGTCACCTGACCATCCAATCCTTCCAGCAGGTTCCAGCACATGCCAAGGTATACCAGCTACTTCCATGTCATAAAGGCTTAGTCATGTCTCTTGACCAAGCAATGAGCTGGTGCCCTGACAGTCCCGCATGATCCATGACTGACATCTCATGTTCTGGGATCTGTCCTTCTTGGAGTGAGGTGATTGTAGCATTGGCTGTCATTTGGGGTGTCATGCCATGTGACTATGCTCTGATCATGGTTGATTGCAGCTGTCTGCAATTGATTTTAGGGATGTCCCCTGACAGTAAGCAAGTGGCCATAGTGAGCTGGAGATCAAGTTGAGCAGCAAGTGCCAGCCAACAATGACCAAGAGTCATTGTTTGCTGGGGTTGTTTGATCAGCAGGAGCAACTGGGCCCAAGGCAGAATGCACCACATCTGGACCCTGCTCTTTTCCCATGGTAGCCCCCACAGTGATGCTTATCACTGATGTGTGGCCACATGGTGGACCCCTAATGAGCTGTCCACAAAAGTCCACCATATTCCAGTGGGAAGCAACCACATCATAATGCACCCATTGGTGGGATGCATGAAGCTGCCCCTACATGCAGCACCGAAGGGGAGTGTGATAAGTAATGGCTTGTTATTTCCACTCCTCGCCCATCACCCAACCGTAACTTGTTCGGAACTGTGCTTGTATTCGCTGTGTTATCATGCGCACCTCGACTGGTGAATTCCAAGGAACGATGTTGATATAACTACAGTACAGATGGATGATCTACAAGTGATGTGGTGTACAACATTTGCCACCGTGCCAAGGGAATCCACACATATCATACCTATGCTGACCTACAAGCATCCACCAAGCTCGCCAGCGAGCGTCTTGCGGGATGCGTTCTTGTAGTCTCCAAAATCCCACTTGTAACAGTCCTGTTGTGGAATGAGCGCGGATATCTGATTGAGACGGGAAACAAGCGTACCACACAGTCCTCCTCCCATTCCCTGCTGGCAACAGGCACCGGCACTCCAGGTTGCCAATCCTCGCTCAACACCCTATCGATCACGGCAGAAATCCTGTGGGTCCTCAAGTCCACGCTCCATTGCTTCTCCTCTACCGTGTTGTACCTCACGACAAGCCCATTATGGCAGCGCGTCTCCATGGCGAACCCGGCAGACGAGCAGACGGAGATACCGTTACACGTGCCCATGGCGATGGGATCAGCGGTGTGATAGACATGGACAATATGGTCATCCGACGGCGGGAGGGGTAGATGTAAGCGTCTTGACGCCAGTTTCTCCGCGGGTGCTTGGAACGATACGACCGGGGCGCCGAATGTGAGTCCAAGAAGACCCGATAAACTTCCTCCCAGGGAATGGCCGACAATCCAGATGTTCGCATCCGGGTATAGGTATGTCACGTTGTTGTACAATTGTGTGCCGATGGAGTAGAAAAGGCTCTCTTCGCGCAACGCATCACTCAGGCAGGTTTGATCGCATTTCCATCCGCCAGAGAAACAGTCACATACAGGTGTCCAGGTACGTCCGACTCGTGCGCAGCAGCACGAGAAGAGGAGGTTGTCATTGAGCTTGTCTTTCTTGCCCGTGGGACCGCTATCCCATATACCGACAGAGGTTCCTTTGATAGCAAGTACGACGGTAGGAGGTGCGTGGGAAGAGACAAAAATGTGTCCCCGGAAACCGTCGTCATCAGGTTCCCAGCCAAAGGGCTCGGACTGTGCGAAGGTCAGGTTAGAGTTCCGCCGTATGTGTGATGAGAACGCACGCTGTTCCACCTGTGCCCGAGGTCATACCAATCCTTATCTGCCGGGGCAGAATACGCGTTGCTGGTCATCTTCGCTAGCTCTAGAAGCGTCTCCCTGTCGGACACATCGGGAAGGAGTACGACATCCTCATCCCACGGGACATCCATGCTCTGTCCATAGAGCCGAGCACGCTTTGTTGCGAGTTGAAACAGTTCCTGTGAGCGTGGGCGATACACACGCTTTGGAACTGCTCGTAACCGAGGTGGAGATAAGAATGAGGAAGGGAGGGAGGTGTTGTGGAAGAGCGTGACAGGTCCGTCTGTTGGTGTGTGATAAGTGGTTGCATGGGCGAGCACCGGAGAAAAAGAGAGCTGAAGGCTGTGGTGGGAAGCTGTAGACGGTGCGATGGGTTGCTTGGAGTTGAATGAGAGTAGAGGAGCAAGAAGAGAAGGGAGCTTCATGACTATTTGGATGGATATGGTGGTCGTGTGAGAACACCCTATTGGTGGTCGCTTACTCAGAGCCAATACATTAGCGCCCGTAATGTGCAAATGACCCATAACAATAATGTATTTCATATCACGACTGCAACTCGTACACGGTAACCATGTCTACGACTCGCACTACATATCATTCTGGATCTAATACTGCGCCCTTTGAACGGATGTCAGATCAATCGAGATCCTCCAGGCTCCTCCTCTTCCAATACCCAGCGTCACCCAGGTCACGAGCTTGATTGCCATTTACTTGGCTGGGTGTGGTGGCGACTCCCCTGGGTCCTTCAGGGGCGCCTCCGGGAGGTCCGGCGGTTACTGTCCGGTCTCCTCCCTTGCGAGCTACGAGCGCGGATGCATCATCCCATGAGCGGGATTGCAGCCAACGACGCTCCAGCCGCGGCCGCCCCAACCCGAAACTCCTCTTCCAACGGTCACCGAAATCAGAGTCACCCAAGTCACGAGCTTGAATGGGAGGAGCAGGTGCTGGGGCGGCCCCGCTGGGGTATTAGG